CAATTGAAGATATATTCAAGATATATAAACTCCAAGAGATTCCTTGAAGGGGGTAGCCCATCCCCTAAATCTACCGTGAGCTTACGCTCTTTTCACCCTTCATTTATTTGAGTTATTTGTTCTAGATGAAGAAGGGAATACAACATTAATAATTTGAATATCTTACTTGTAGTGACATCAATAAAAAAATCATATAGTTATAGATTGCCCTCTAATGGATTCTTAAACAAAATATTTAGTATAGATTAATCAAATCAAATTATGTTTAGAAGATTTAACTAATCTTGCTTGCTTCATTGAAAACTTTTTCTTTATTGAATGTGACTATTATTTTGAAATGCAATTGATTTTTTAGTGGACTCCCTTCTCATTCAAGATCTCTTTTTTATGATTGTCTTGAATAAAAACTAACTAGTTGAGAAGTAGGTAGATTTACTAATTTCTTTGCATATACTAAAACCCAATCTAAAGAACACAAGCCTTGCATCTTTAGTTCAAAGGAACTTAAAATCATTTGGTGCATACCTGGAAAAGGTTAAATCCTTAAATTCAAAGGCCCTACTAGGAGTCAAGTCATCACAAGTGCTTTTAAGTTCCTTTTTAGTCTTTATATTTGTTTCACTATCAAGATTTGAAGTTTGTGGTAGAGGAGAAAAAACATGATATGACATACAAAAACAAAGATATTCTTCGATTTTCTTAGGTAATTAGTGTAACAAAGATGGAAGAAAAAGCTTAGTATAACAGACACCATTTGGATTTGTTATTGCAAGGAATAACATATCTACAAGAAAGAAAGCATCGTGCTTAACCAACAATGATGCAATATGCAGCTAAGATCTCATGAAGCGCATGCCTCAAGGGAAAAAGCACACTCGATAAATTACTATCTTTTTTTTTGTATTTTTTCAATAAGATAAATAGAGATGCTATTTACCTTTCTCATTCCCTTGAATAAATTTATGGAATTAAAAAAAAAAATTGATCATAGAATTTGGCATCTCCTAATCAAGTCAAATTAAGGTGGCGTTTGATAACACTTTTTAGACGTTTGAAGTTTGAAATATCTGCTTTTTAGATGCAATGCTTATTTGGTGTTGCATATGAAATATGATCTGAAAAATTTTTCCATATCTGAAATTTCAAAACTCAAGCTCGTCACTTAACGCACTCAAACGCATTTCAAACATGGCCTGAAGTAAAAAATACCCCTATTCTCTCTCTCTCTCTCCCCCTTGTCTTCCCACCACTACCGCTACAACTTGTAGCTCAATTGCAATGGAAGCGATTCTCTCTCTCAAGAGGGTGAGTAACAATAATAAGGGTAAAATACAAAACCTCCCTTGAGGTTTCTAATAATCATAAAAACTTCCCTTGAAGTTTCACTTTAGCAGAAACCTCCCCTAAGTTTTTAAAAAAATTGACAAAAACTTCCCTTCCGTCAATGACAAATATAGAAAACGTTAAACTGGTGAATCAAAATTTCAAAATACCTATTTTACCCTTTTACAAATTAGTTTATATCTATTTTTATTGAAATATGTTATCCTCTTTTCCTCTCCCGTATGTCGACAGAAGGGCTTTCGGAAGGCTTTGCATCGTTCTTCACTCATCCTTTCCTCTGGTTGGAGGAGATTGAAGATGGAGGGTTAGGTGGCAAGGCAGATCGTGAGGGAAATAGAGAATCACTTTCTACAACTCCAAAAGCCATTCCTTTCTCTATTCCTTTCTAATCTCTATACATGTATGCCTTCTTTCTATTAGTCTCTATTCATTGCATTCTCTCCACAAACAAACACAAATCCATAAACCAAGAAAGAAATCAAAATCCCATTTGAACTTGGAAGCTAGCAATTATGTCTGTAAGCCTTCCTCATGTAAGAGTCAATGGCATCGGGAGCTACCATCTTTACTGGTGTTACCAGTGCCAGCGAACAGTCAGGGTTGCTGCTTCCATCACATCTGAGATTTTTTGCCCCTGACATTTCGGTCGATTCCTCCATGAGCTTGACGTGGCCAAGCCCAGGTTTCTTCTTGACCTCATTGGTCTCGATTCATCTCCTGAGGCCCGGTTATTAGAAACCATGTCTCTCATGCTTGACCCCCAATGTGTCAGCCTGTTCATGATTTCGACGGGAGATTTCGCTTGGAACCGAAGGCTGAACTTCGGCATCGGCCCAGACGTTTGATTATAGTCCGACCCACTAATCGTCCTCGTCCGACCGGAACCATGTCCCCGCCGGAAAATCTGTTGCCCTGGGCTGTTGTCCCTAGAGATTACTTTGTCGGGCCAAGGTTGAATGAGCTGATTGAGGAATTGACCCAAAATGATCGGCTATTGCCTCCAGCACCTACTTCAACCATTGATGCCATGCCGAGAGAGAAAATCACAGAGACCCATTTGAAGGATTATTCACATTGTCCATATTGTAAGGAGTTTAAGATTAGTGAAGAAGTTAGGGAGATGTCATGTAAGCATGTTTACCATTGCGACTGCATTGTTCCTTGGTTGCAAATTCACAATTCTTGCCCAGCTTGTCGGCCACAAACTGCAGTCTTCATTTGATAATGATTTTTGTATTGATGATGTTGTGGATTCTCAAAGGGAGGAGGTCAGTAACTGCCACTGGCATAAGAACCACCAATGAAAGAAAAGTTTCAAGTTTCAATTGAGGTAAAATTGTATTACTTCTTTATCTCATTCGCTTACAATGGTTGTTCTCACAGACCAAAATTGCGGGCAGATCCAAATGAGCTGCCATATGCAGTGCTTCGAACAATTGGCCTTGATTGACTGCACCATCATCGTACATAGAGAACGTGACAATATTATCTTTGGAGTACTTCTGCACCAACAATTCCATGCCCACCATAAAAGCCAGACTCCTTCTTGTAGAAATGCATGGAGCCTCCCTTTCCCTTAGAGCAACCAGCTTGATGACCCATCAGTTCAGCAAAGGACTCGAGAAGGGTCCCACCCCAGCTGAGGAAAATACAGTGATCCAGGTAGGCCGTGATGATGCAGTCCTTCTTCATGATGGCTTCGCGATGGTAGCTTCCATGCCAATGGAGACGACTTCTTGGCCGTCATAGAGATGACAAAAACCGTGGATGAGCTTAGCCTTGTAGAGCGAGTCTGCAACGATCTCCATACGGCGCATGACGGTCATGTCTCTGAAAAAACTGAGGAGTTCCTTTGGGGTGGTTTCGACAGTGTGGGTGGGTGGGTCGATCTTGTGGCTGGAGACGGGGACACTGATTTGACGGTGATGATAGAAGTGTCATTGGCAGATGAGGAGAACGAGCGGCCTTCTGGCGGTATCAGTAAAAATAGATACAAACTCATTTGTAAAAGGGTAAAATAGGTATTTTGAAAATTTGATTCATCGATTTAACGTTTTCTATCTTTATCATTGACAAAGGGAGATTTTTGTTGAATTCTTTAAAAATTTAGGGGAGGTTTTTGCTAAAGTGCAACTCTAGGGGAAGTTTTTATGAGTGTCAGAAACTTCAAGGGAGGTTGTTATTATTATTATTATTTATACATTATTTTTACTAATTATTAATTATTTTAATATTATTTATTAAGCATTAATTTTTTTTATTAATTTTACTTGTGTTATTTATTAATTATTAATTATTTTTATTAACTAGTAATTTTTAATTATGTCATTATTTTTTATAAATTATTTTAATTTTCATTTGTGTAAAATATTAAATATTAATTATTTTAATATTTTTATAGTCATTAATTATTTTTTAATTAGTAATTCTTAATTATTATTTTTTATTTGTGTCGTTTCAATATTATTTTGAAGTTAAAAATTATTTTTTATAAGATAATGCGAATTGAACTCAACATTTCTAAATAGTATGTTTTAGGGGTAAAATAGTAAAATTAGTGAATTTTAGATGTCAAAGGGTTGATCCAATACAAACAAACTTATGGATTTAAAGCCTCTAAAAAGTAGAAAAGCACCTATGTCTTTTGAGATTTCATACACAAATAATATTTTTTTAACTTCTTAGATTTTAGATTCAAGATTTATCAAACACCACCTAAATTTTGATGGATACAGTTATGAAAAGAACACATTGTGTATATGCCCCTTGGATCATTGTGTTATTTTTACATTGGACCTGATTGTGTAATGTATAAAAAGTGAGAATGAACGATCTATTTCTAATGTGAAAGAGTAGCTCCTTCATTTTGTATTCAACATTACTTAATTTTCATTAAATTAATTAGAAATAGATATAACTAGATATTGTCTTAACTTCAAACTCTTTCCTTAAACTTTATGTTGAATGCTTGTTTGGTTATTGAGTATATTACTATTCATCATTTTAAAAGATAGGAACAAGATAATGATGAATTTGCACATGCAACACACGTGACCCACCATTATCCCTTATATAAGTGGAGGGCAATCCACCTCAAAAATTTAAAATTACAACCTTCTTCTAATCTACTAGTAGCCCTCTATAAATCGAATTATACTCATGAATTTAGCTTTAATCCACGGGCAGGATTCATTTTACTTATACGATCAGATTTCTAGATGGACTTAGTTATAAAAACCCCAGGATATAATAAAATTTAACAAATCTCGTACATTTCACGGGTCCCGTTAATTAAACGGATAGGAGGTCAACGGACAACGGCCCAATGCACTTCCGGATTCCAATTATATCCCCAAAAGTGCAAAAAATCCAAACCAAAGTGCGGAGCCAACGAAACTACCATTGAAAGACACAAAAAAGGCGTTGTAAAATATCACAGCGATCCTCTTAGGGAAGGATTCAACCAATAGGAAGCGAGTATTGAAGTGTGACGATCCGCCCCGGGGAAAAAGTGCATATCGCAGCCGTTGGCATCAGTCAAAGAAACACAACGRCAGCCAATTTCCACCGTTGGATATCAAAACGGAAAAAAACACAGTATAAGAGTATCGTAACCGTCCAATTGGGCATTACCGCCGACACATTCTGTCTATAAATAGGGGATTTACCGCACCTTATTCCGAACTTTAGTTTATATTGATTTGAGCGGGAGTCGGGCGGAAATCAATCCAAAGACAGAGAGGTAAGCATCGGTTTCTCTTTCTCTTTTTTAATTTTTAATTAGTCTTAGGTTTCATCCATTGTTCATTCAATGATAATTGTTATTTTTCAATCTATGCTAATTTCTTTCTGGAGAATCGGAGATGATTATTCTTTCGTTTTTTCCTCTAGGAAATCTTAGATTGTTTTTGTTTCTATTGTCTAGGCAGGTCTTTCTTGTTTGAAATTGTTGGATATCTATCTATACATTTTTCGTCAGGCTATTCTAGATTTGTATTTATTTAAATTTGATCAGCCTATCTCATACAGTCTCAATGTTTTTTTTTTTCAAAATTTTGGGATTAAATCTATAGGCTCAACATTCACCTAGAGTTAGGGTTTCTTTGGTCTCTTGTTTCTTAGAATTGCACTTTGTGTAGAATTCGATTTAGTTCCAAACAAGGAACGAATATTCCGTTTGGCCTATACATGATGGACGCTGTGAACTCTATTTTTTCTGGTGTATCTTGAAGGGTTTTGAAATAGTATTTACTTTCTGAAAGTACTATATTTATTTCAAAGGGGGTTATTTTTTCCTCTCAGGTGTAATTTATGTTCATATTTATTAGGATTATTTCGAAAGATTTTGATCGTTCGACCTTGGAAATTTTGCAAATATAGATGGCTCGTACGAAGCAAACTGCTCGCAAGTCCACGGGAGGAAAGGCACCCAGGAAGCAGCTCGCTACCAAGGCAGCTCGTAAATCTGCACCGACCACCGGAGGTGTGAAGAAACCTCACAGATACCGTCCAGGAACTGTTGCCCTCCGGTAAGAGGCGAAGATCTTGGTTGTCTTTCCGTTGTTGCTTGCACGCAAATGTTTGTTTGTTGACCAAACTTGTTATTCATTCTATTCTTGGTATCATATAGTGAAATTCGCAAGTACCAGAAGAGTACGGAGCTCCTTATCAGGAAACTTCCGTTCCAGAGGCTTGTTCGTGAAATCGCTCAGGACTTTAAAACGGATCTCCGTTTCCAAAGCCACGCTGTGTTGGCCTTGCAGGAGGCGGCCGAAGCATACCTAGTGGGACTGTTTGAAGACACTAACCTCTGTGCCATCCATGCCAAGCGAGTCACGATCATGCCCAAGGACATCCAGTTGGCTCGTAGGATCCGTGGTGAGAGGGCCTGAAGCTGGTGTTTGATCTACCATCAACAATGGTGTTGGCTGGGAGGTGTTGCTACTGTTTTGTTCATTTTTTTTTTTAAATCTTTTTTAAGAAATAGGACTTAAAACAAGTTGTAGTAAGTGAATACAATGATGACTCTTCCGTGGTACATATGGTGGTGTGATGTGCAGTTTAACATGGATGGAGTTTACAATTTTTTTTGGAACTTGGTGTAGATTGTTCTGTCTAATKTGTTGAAACCGATTTTCCATTTCCTTGTCTTTTGATGTGATTTTCGTCCAAACCACAAACGTGCGCCTATGCTTTCCTTGCTTGCTTGTTGCGCGGACATTGTTCATTCGTTTAGTAAATGGCGGGGTGAGGCAATGAAGGATGGTGGTCGAAGGCCCTTTTTTGTGGTTTTGACCGAATGTTTTTAATCGGTTTTTTGATTTTCTGAGCGAATGACAAATCGGTTGAAGGCCCTTTCTTATGTGATGATGTAATAATGTTTTCAGTATGTTCTTGTGTTTGTAAAACGGCTATTCTTACTGTTTGAAAGTGTATCCGTATTGTGCTTCATTCAACTCAAATCTGTTTGAAATTCTTCGATTAGTAGTTCCACTAAAATTCATCGCTCTCCGCAGCCGAGTGAATTGAATGACAACCCCACCTTGCACAGTAACCATCAACCCCCACCTTGTGTGGTTGATTGAGTATGTGGAATTGGGAAATGAAGGAAGTTCTAATTGAAAATAGATTTGCTTGTTGATTATGGATGGTTCGAAGTGCTAAATTTTCTGTTTCGCTGAAAATATGTCAGGGGGTTCTACATTCACAAGTCACTACTCGGGGAAAAGTAGCTCGGGGAAAAGTAGTTTTTTTTTTTTTTTGTGAAAAACTATAATACCAGAAATACAAGATCCCGGGAATGGCATGGACCAAGCACAACCCGTTTGTAAGATCGATCCATTCAATCATGTAAGTGATGTGAAATGGTTTCAAAATTAATCTGGACCATGGAAGTGTTGTAAAAAGTGCTATTAAACATCCAGAAAAAAGTGGACCATGTAATGGTGTACTGAGATTATCCTGAACTCAAACCTGTCTATTGAGATCAGTGCATTGATCTCAATAATCCACAAATGATGGACCAAGAGTCAGGTAAGCTGGACCCATCTAGATGCTTGAAATCTGCACCAAAAGTTTAAGCTATCAAAGTAGCCTTGTGATGTCAATTATTAAATCTCATCCATCGGAGTGTCAAGTAATACATTAACATTTCTAAAATCTAAGCCAAATGATGCCCAAATAATCCTAATATCTTTCTTTTTTGGGTAAATGAGTAAATAAACCTAATATCGAAACTATCAAAATGACCTAAGCTCCGCTAATGAGGGATGTTTTGATGATAGTATCTAGGATGTCAAAGCAATTTATTATACAGTGCAAATACATATAAAATAATACAAAATATTAGGCTTTGCACTCTACATTAACAATTTGAGACAACTCTCTAATTATACCACCAGATCTGATTGACTACAACTTTATTTTAGCTTCATTTGCAAATCAATCAACACTTGTATATGACAAAATTTAACATTTAATTTCGTGGTTCTAACAAGTAACAAAACGAAGGCAATCTTCAGTTAAATTCGTTATGCTTCAGGCCAGCATTTTCACTATTTGTTTGATTAGACCTGCTTTGCTTTCACTAAGGGTGTTAATGGACCTGTTATGGATTGGACCCCATCCAGTCCGAATTCAATTTGGATGGATTGGACGGACCAATAAAACATATTTGATTGGACCAATCCGGTCCAAAATATTTATTAAATTGGATTGGACCTGGTCAAGGTTCAAAGTATCGTTACGTATCGGTCCATAACGGCTGATACGTATCATTCTGGGACCTTTTCGATATGCCCCTACAGTGGGTGTATCAGGGGTTTGACAGGTTCAGGGGATGGAGGGGTCTTAGACCGTCTCCCCTGAATCAGTTTTGAAAAAAAATAAAAAAGGGCGTATTGATATTTTGAACATTAGACCTGGTCTGTCTGTAATAAATTTATATTGGATTATGTTGGATTAAGCCAATATATGGTCCATTGATATAAGATAAGAATATGTGTCAATGGACCGAGTTTAAATTAAAATCAATCTAAATCAAAATAAATTTGAACAGATTGAATAATCCAGACATTAAATTGGACTGGTCCAAAACATTCATTGAATTAGATTGAACCTGATCCATTTATAATGAACTCACATTAGACTGGATCAGATTGGACCAAATCCAGTCCAATTGACACCCCTAGCTTTCACCTCCTCCGATCTAAGCCATTAAAATAACCACCCAGCTCAGTGGATTAATCGTAAGTTCGTAACCATCCGAAAAAGTTATCTTTAGACTTTAGTCTACATGACCTCTACTGCCATTGCCTCGACACTGCTGCCACTTTGTTTTGAAATTTCGGATACATTGTCACTTCTTTTTGACCTTTTCCTTCCTCACCACCTCATATGAATGGTTTTCAAAATCGGATCGGACCATACAATGAGACGAGTTGATTTGGGAACCAGTTAGGTAATCGGTTCTTTTTCATCTTAAAACCATTTTTGGGCCAAAACCGATTATTTGATTAGCAACCTGCTGACCCAGGTAGTTGAACCATTGATCCATCGACTCAAATAATTCTTTTGGCTGTTTTTATTTTATTTATTTTTAATTTTTTAAATCAGAACAAATTATCTATTCGAACTATTCGACCCAAGGACCAGTGGCCAGAACAATTCCGTATCCCGTCTGATCTTTAAAACCTTGCTCATGTATATTTTCCATCACAGCCGATCCATTTAATGTGATTTTGGCCTTCACCGTTATTGCTTATAACAAGCTCTTTATTCTAATTTGCTATTTCTAGCTACCACATCAAATTTCCTCTAATATACCTCCAGTGTGATAACATATCGTATTCGTTTGTATATAGAATGAATTCAGAGGTGCAGATGGATCAGGTTGGGTTCGATGAGGGTTGAAGGACAACCCATCTACCAAGTACCAACCATTCTCGTCCTTTAGAAATCCACTTTTTTTAATATATACATAGATTGCAACGCAACCTAATTCACCCACCATTTGAATATTTAAATCGATGTAAATATATTCTTTTTAACAGAAGAAAGGATTTAGAAAATATGTAAACTAGTAATCCAAGTTTCAAGTAATTGTTTACCCCCCCAAAAAAAACCTTCGTGTGTTAACACAAGTGGATAACCATAACCAATTAACCCAACCTAACCCTCTCTTTTTTACTTTTTTTTTGGCAACCAAAAGCATAAAAATCATTCATTACTGAAATTGTTGTACACCAGTTCATTAACATTTTCATCAAAACATGTATTACATGTATGATATGCTAACATATGAGCTAATGCATTGTGACGTCTACTAATATGTATAAACATAACCTGATTCATAGTATTTTCAATATCCTAAATTTGTGCTCTCTCTATATATATACATATTTACTTATTTAGATACATATATATAAATATATGTATACATATTTATACAAATACATACATATATACATACATAAATAAATAAATATATATATATATATATATATGTGTGTGTGTGTATGTGTATAATTTTAGAGTGGATTCATTGATCAACTTGAATCTGATTTGGGCCCGAACCCAATCCAAATTCATCAAATTACAGTATGGGTTAAGCTCGGGTTGGGAAAATCGGACTTGACCTTGGGCTCGGTCTAGGCTCGAGCCTTAAGTCTAAATTTTATGGCCGGGCCCAAGTTGATCATAAACCCAATCCAACATGCCCAACTTGCACCCCTAAGCTCATTGTTTGTGCCTGCTAACTTCTCAATTATAGTTTGAGACCTTGGTGTAGCCCAATTATTGTGTCGTTTTGAGACCTTGGATTATGCTCCATCATAACTTCCTATGGCTTTGCATTTTTTACCCTCTGTTGCAACAATGGAGTTTTGATTGGAGAGTATAACCAAAACCATAGCCAGCATTACTAATTGCAGGATCAAAAGACCCATCAGTGAACACTTTAACTGTGATCTCTTCTTGAGCTTGACCCCGATTTGTCTCATCATTTTGGTCTAATTTCTTTGGTTGCTGTTGCTCCTACTGAAGCATGTAATGCTAAGCTTTACAAACCAGAGTTTGTGAGTCAATGAATTTATTCTGAAACACTCAATGTTATTTTCATTTTTGCATCCCATATTAATTTCATGATAATGCAAATTCGCGCAAAAAGATTATATTTTTCTTTCTTGTTAAGTGAGGAAGGAAGATTATTCTACCACTCCCCAACAATGATGTGCAAAGGTTTTTGAGCAACCATGTGTATGCCACAAAACAACTTTTGAGAAAGGGCAAAGGAAAAATAAGTGGTGGAAATTTTCTAATTGCTGCTTGCATAGATCACAACTTGTGTCCTCCTCTTTGTATTTATATTTTATCTTCTGTGATAAGACCACCCCAATAAGCCTTCCAAGTAAAAACTTGAAATTTGTATAGCATTTTGGTACTCCAGATTCTGGACAGGAGTTTGATGATGTTGGTTGTTGGTGTAGGAAAGCCAAATAAGCAGACCTTACTGTATATTTTCCTTGTTTGTTCTGAGTCTATAAGATTGTATCAGAATGATCCCTACGGCTTAGGTGTACCTGAAGAATGTTTATTATAGTTATCTCATAAAAAATGTCTCTGACTTTGTCTATATCCCAACTTCCATAATCTTTTATTAGATTTGAAACCATGCATCTGATTCGTGAATGCCCCCAAGTGGTATTTGGTATTGATATTTTACCTGCTAAAGTGGGGACCCAAGGATCACTTAGAGTATTTGCCTTGTGACCATCCTTGACTTTCCAGCAAGTATTTGCTTTAAAAATTTTCACCATTTTCATTGCTTGCCTCCACCAATTTGAACCTTGCTTTGTGAGCTTCTCATCAAAGAAACTATTTTGTTTTTATCATTGCAACCCACAAATTATTTTCTTCATTTAAGTCTCCAGACTTGCTTTCCAAATAAAGCCAAATTCATCACTCTTCCTTTTCGAAAACCCAAACCTCCTTAGTGCTTTTGTTTGCAGAATTTGTCCCAAGCAATTGAATGTAATTTCTTCTTTTCTATATCATTTCCCCATTAGAAACCCTTTGTCTTCTTTCTATATCTCTCAATATCTAAATGGAAATATAAAAGTTGACATTGTGTATATGGGAATCGCTCGAGCTA